GTTTTCAATACCCCTCCTAATAATCCCCAGCATAGCACTTGCCTTTCTACTACAACTCCAAGATCTCTCCCTTGATCAGTCTCTGCCAGTTCAGACCCCATCAATGTGTATTTATATTGAGGATTTTTGGCTCCAATGTGCATCACCTTGCACTTGGCCACATTGAACCCCATTTGCCATGTTGACGCCCACTTGCCCATCCTTGACAGACCTCAGCCTGAGACCCTGGAGAGTCGCTACCCATCTGAGTAGAGAATACTGACTTCGATGGACCGAGGGTCTGATTCAGTTGAAGGCAGCTTCGTATGTTCAAGATGCTACTGGACTCTTGCTCTTTTCTACTGCTACAGACAGACAAACACGGCTACCCAGTGGTAGCAGTGGGCTGTGGCTCAGTGGCAGAGCCTCTGCCTGGCACGCAGAAGGTCCCAGGTTCAATCCCCGGCATCTCCAGTTAAAAGGACCAGGCAGTGGGTGATGGGAAAGACCTCGGCCTGAGACCCTGGAGAGCTTTAAAGAGGGGCTGTGTCTCAGGGGCAGAGTATCTGCTTGGCATGCAGGAGGTCCCAGGTTCAGTCCCCGGCATCTCCAGTTAAAAGGACCAGGCAGAAGGTGATGGGAAAGACCTCCGCCTGAGACCCTGGAGAGCTGTCAAGAGGGGCTGTGGCTCAGTGGAAGAGTATCTGCTTGGCATGCAGGAGGTCCCAGGTTCAGTCCCCGGCATCTCCAGTTAAAAGGACCAGGCAGAAGGTGATGGGAAAGACCTTCCCCTGAGACCCTGGAGAGCTGTAAAGAGGGGCTGGGGCTCAGTGGAAGAGTATCTGCTTGGCATGCAGGAGGTCCCAGGTTCAGTCCCCGGCATCTCCAGTTAAAAGGACCAGGCGGTAGGTGATGTGAAAGACCTCTGCCAGAGACTCTGGAAAGCCACTCCCAGTCTGAGTAGACAAGATTGACCTGGATGGAGCAATGTTCTGATTCAATAAAAGGCAGCTTCATGCGTTCAACTTGCCCAAGGCCAACAAGCAGCATTTGCACATCAAGGATTTCCCACACGCAGCAATTACTGCTACACCACGCCTGTCCTAACCACCGTAAGTCTCACTTATGGAGCTTGATCCCAAACCCGGTTCTCATTTAGGGCTGACTGCCCCCCCTCCAGATTTGTGGGAAAGTTCTGGGGGAGGGGCACTCCTGGCCCAAAGAACAAGTCAGGCCCCAGTGATGCAAGGACACTTCCAGCGACGACCAAGACAGCTCCGCCCAAGCCAACCCGACTCCTGGCAGAAGGGAAGGAGGTGAAGGCAGGATCCAAGTTCCAAGCAGTGTTCCCGCTAAGCTGTGCCTGTGAGCAACTGCTCATTAACCCAGGAATAGAGATGTAAAATTTCTGGAAATTTTGAAGCTCGGAAAAAAAAACCTGTTTTTTTTTTGGGGGGGGGGGTTCTGAAAAAAAGGAAATTTCCGGAAAAATTGAAAAAATGCTACATTAGCATTTCTTTTGTCTTTTCTAGATTGAAAGTCATTCTGTTACTTTAGGAACATACAAATATGACTATGGACATTTTTACTTGGCATGAAATTATCATAACTAGCATATTAAAAATATACTGTATCCAAACAATTATTACAAACAGAATACCCAGCCACATGCAAAAACAAAACTGAAACTTTTTTATTTTCTTCTGACAATCGCACCTCCTAAAGGAAGAAATGCATCTTGTTCTTGCATTGGAGAGTTCAGTTTGTAACCTAGGACTTGCTTGTCCTCAGTGCACAGAAATTAGATCAATCTGATACCATACATATATATTTTATAAATGATTTGGAAAATATTTGACACCTTGTCTTAAAATATTTTATTCATCATGTTAAAATAAAATGTTCCATAATTATTTTTTTTTCTTTTCTTTTTTCAATTTTTCGAAAAAAAACAAAAAGGCTTCAGGAAAAAAAATGGGGAAAAAACAGTTTTTTCCCGGGCCTTCACATCTCTACACAAGAAGCCCTGCTCAGCACGATCTGGAGCTGCACAGGTCTTGTGCGGTGTGTGAACTGGGAGCTACACTCGCGGTTCTTCTGCCAAAACCTGGTAGGGCTCAAGGTCTCAAGCTGTCAAGAGCAACCTGTTTCTCTCTATCAACATTCCAAGCCCTTTACGCTTAAAAGCTCATCTCTTCAGTCTCCGGTTCGCCTCTGGGAAAAGGGAGGGAGGCACCCGTTAACAACGGCTGCTCCACAGTTCAAATCTTGAAAGGTCTCAACAGAATTTATTGAAGATGATTACAAAAGAAAAGTTACTGCTCACTGCACCCTAGCAGTGAGTATCAAACACACGGCATTCACAGCGTTTCCTGCTCCCTGGCCCACAGTAGCCTGGAAAGTAAGGTAAGTTCTCTGCAGAAAGACATCTGATATTAAACTGTCTGTCCCCCACTCAAGGCCAAGTAGCTAATTATTATTTGCAGCTGTGGAGTTCTTAAAGAAAAAGGTCTTCTGCAAAAACAGTTCCCAGGGTTGGAGCTGAAACCACTTAGAGTGGGAGGGCTTCTGGGCGTTCAGGCTCTGCTGGTGGACCTCCTGAGGGCACCTGGGTTCTGGCCACCGTGTGACACAGAGTGTTGGACTGGATGGGCCATTGGCCTGATCCAACATGGCTTCTCTTAGGTTCTTATGTGTCCGGGGCAGTAATGCTCTGTATTCTTGGTGCTTGGGGGGGGGGCAAGAGTGGCAGGGCTTCCGGAGTTCTGGGACCACTGTAGCGACCGGCCTGGGGTGAATAGAACTGTATCCTTCCCTGGTTAAGATTGCCATTTTGGGTCGGTGGGGAGGAATACAAGAGCTCCATAAACCTGGCCAGGACCCCCACACAGTCCCAGAAATCTTTTGGATTCGAAGCCCTGGCAAAGTCACAGTCAAGGTGCCAACAACTGGCCTCCCCCCCCCCCCCCCCCCCACTTTGGCAATCCTAGTTCCCCTGGAGGAAATGGCTGTTTTGGAAAGCAGAGCCTATGCAATACAATACAACAACCTTTATTGGCTTTATGCACTAAGAAATATACAAGACATAAGGAGTACTCCAGTTAACACATAACTCGCTTTTTAGAAGCCAGATATAGAAAAGTTGCCACCATTTCAATAGTTAGAGCTTATCAGCTGTCACTCAAGGGCACTCTCCACCTCCATTTAACCAGGAAACTTCAAAACTAGCTGGGACCTCCTCCTCCACAACAGTTGGGCAGCAGCCCAATGTGGAAAGCACAAATTACTTAAAGACAGATTACACTCAATTATTGCTTAAAGGCATATGCTTCCAATACGATTTATAGGAATATTGCGCATAAAGACTGAAATATAAATCCTATAGGATGACCTACATACATAGCATAATCTCTTTAAGTAATTTGTGTTTTCCACGGTGTATGCAGGCTGTGGAAGGTCGGTAGTTCAGCAGTTCGAGACCCGAGTGTGCCGCATGACGGAGTGAGCTCCCGTCTCTGGTTCCAGCTCCTGCCAACCTAGCAGTTCGAAAGCAAGAAATTGGAAGTAGATAAATAGGTACCACTTCGGTGGGAAGGTAACAGCGTTCCGTGCGCCTCGGTGTTTAGTCATGCCGGCCACATGACCACGGAAACATCTTCGGACAGCGCTGGCTCTTCAGCTTTGAAACGGAGATGAGCACCGCAACCCTAGAGTCGGACTCGACTGGCTTTCGAGCAAGGGAACCTTTACCTTTACCTATCTCAGTGGTCCCATTGTATCCAGTGTTGGTGTAACAAGGGAGCTGGTTGAAAACCCCTGTCCACACAGGGCCAAAGATGTGCACTTGTGTGTATTAAGTTGCTTCCGACTGTTGGCGATCCTGTGAATTAATGACCTCCAAAACATGCTCTTGTTACGAGCCTTGCTCAGGTCGTGCAAGCTGAGGGCCGCGGCTCCCTTGACTCAGTCAATCCATCTCAGGTAGGGTCTTTCTCTTTTTCTCCTACCTTCGACTTTTCCTAGAATTATTGCGCCAAATATATTATTCCCTAATTCAATTACCATTGCATCGCTCATTGACTGTCTCATGTTCTCCGTTCACCCCAGTGTGGTGTGGTGGTTAAGACCGATGGACTCTAATCTGGACAAGCGGGTTTGATTCCGCACTCCTCCACGTGAACCCAGCTGGGTGACCTCGGGTCAGTCACAGCCCTTTCAGAGATCCCTCACCCCAAAAAACAAGTCTAGGTCGCCACCTAGTGGTGCCTAACGCTAAAAGTGCCAGACTGCCAGACCATCTTAGGATCTATACACACTGCCATAATTAATTAAATCCATTTTAGATCCTGCCTCCCACCTTCGCAGCAGGAAAAGCCAAACTATAAAGTAAAACAAAATAAATAGGATGGGTTAACACATACTAAACAGTTTGGTGTGGAGGTGGTTAAGAGCGGCGGACTGTCATCTGGAGAACCGGGTCTGATTCCCCACTCCTCCACATGCAGCCAGCTGGGTGACCTTGGGCCAGTTGCAAGTTCTCTCAAGAGCAGTCCCTGAAAGAGCTCTCTCAGCCCCACCTACCTCAAGAGGGTGTCTGTTGTGGAGAGAGAAAGGGAAGGAGATTGTAAACCACTCTGAGACTCCGAGTGAAGGGCGAGGTACAAATCCAGTCTCTTCTTCTTCCCCCAAGTCCACAACTGAACTGAGACCATTTGCAAAGAGTCAGAGCCATGGTTAGAGTGTCAGACCCTAGCCTATGGGAAATGCAGGTTCAAATCTCCACTATGCCATGGAAGCTGACCGGGTGGTTTCAAGCCAATCACGCACACCCTTCAGCCTGACCTACCTCACAGGGTTGGTATCAAGGTTGAAACAGAGGAGAGGAGAACAACAGAAGCCACTTTGAGGGGGGGGTAGTCTGGACTTAAAATAAGTACACATATTTATTTCCCAAAATGTACCTGCCCACCTTTCTGCCCTCCCAGCTGCCCACGAATGCCCGCTCTGGGCAGGGCACCTACCATACTCGATGCCCCCGGCCAGGAACAGCAGACCGATGGTGAAGGTGGTCAGCTTTTTCTTCCGTTGGCAATCCATGCACCCGGCGTTGGTTTCTCGCCCCCTCCCCCCCCCCCGCAAGGAAAAGGGAGGGCGGGGCCGAAGATCAAAGGCCCGAAGACATCAAAGGCCCGGAGACGTCACTGGGCACGGGCGGCAGCGGCGGGGGGCATCCCTGCGGGCACGGCGGGCACTGGGCGGCGACGCCCGGCCCGCTCTCCTTGCAGCGGCTCTTCGCTCGGCGAGCCGGTGGAACTTTAAGGGCTCTCCGGGGGGCGGGGCCACGCTGGCCGGCAGCCAATGACGGGCGCCTCCCGGCCTCCCGGTGGCCAGCCCTCTGCCTGCTGCTACCTGGCGGCGGGAGAGGCAGAACGCGGGCGTCCAATCAGACCGCGCGCCGCCCTGGGAACGCCCCGCCCCCCTCGCGAAAGGACGACAGAGCAGAGAATCTCCGCCCTGGTCCACTGCGGGGACGCCAGTAGGCGCCTCGGGGCCGAAGGACTGTACAAAACAAATCGCAATCAATCAATCAAAAAATTAAGCCACGGGCGGTCTTTTCTTTTTACGAAAGACAGCCAAATGCGCCCAAATTCCTGTGCGATCTTTCAGGTCCTCGGGGTTGCTTGCCACCCTCCAGGTGAGTAAGTAAACAAAAAAACCACCTTGCTATTGTTTGGCAAACTGCTCAATCATTATTATCACGCATTTATATTATGGTACAAATTACGAAACGCATTCCAAGACAAAGCATGCAAATAAGTGTCCTTCTGAACCAAACTGTCCCTCTTCAATTACTGAATAGCTTGCATAATAATATCGCGGCTGTTTTTCGTTTACTTACAATCTACCCCGTGATCTCACGTTTGTATAACCTCCAGGTGAGGCCTGGAGATCTTCCGGAATCATAACCCATTTTCAGACTACAGGAAATCGGTTCCGGCAGCTTCAGAGCTTAAAGTATTCCATGGGTTCCGAGGTGGAAAAAATCCCTCCCCAAATTTCCCTCCTCCATAGATTCTGACCCCAAATCTCCAGGAATTTCCTGGACTGGAGTCGGCAACTGGAAGTCTTCATTGGATCACATTCTGTGCACCTTCGTGTTTAGTCATGCTGGCCACATGACCATGGCTTTCGAGCAAGGGAACCTTTACCTTTGCCATCAAGTCACAGCTGACTTATGGTGACTCCGTAGGGCTTTCAAAGCAAGAGGCAAACAGTGGTGGTTTGCCTCTGTGTAGTGACCCTGGAGCTGGTCCATGGGGTCGCGAAGAGTCGGACTCGACGGTGGGACTGAACAAGAACAAAGTGACCTTGGACTTCCTTCGTAGTCTCTCATCCAAATATTTACCAGGACTGAGTTTGCTTAGCTTCTGAGATCTGGTAAGACTGAGCTAGCCTGGGTTAGGCATCATAAAGGGGGTGACATGAATACACAAAATGGCTTTTAGCCCTGTACACACGATATAATGAATACACGTTTCATCTATGTACAGCATACACTCAACTTTTTTTGATATATCCATCCAGTAGTTCATACATTACAGTGCAAGTGCGTATGAAGTAATGTGTGATGTAAACCCCACACTTATCTAGGAGCCAGTTTGGTGTAGTGGTTAAGTGCGCAGACTCTAATCTGGGAGAACCGGGTTTGATTCCCCACTCCTCCACTTGCACCTGGCTGGATGACCTTGGGCAAGCCTAGTTCTGGCACAGCTGTTCTTGAAAAAGAGCAGTTTCTGTCAGACTTCTCTCAGCCCCACCTACCTCACAGGGTGTCTGTTGTGGGGAGGGGAAGGGAAAGGAGTTTGTAAGCTGCTCTGAGACACCTTTGGGTAGTGAAGGGCGGGGTATAAATCGAACCTCTTCTTCTTCTTCTTCTTCTTCGCCCTGTTCGGTGAGTGAGTTCTAGTGAGATGAACACTCACAGTTCTTTCTGACAAACCAGGTGTAGATGCAAGATTTATGCATGTTCACTTGCAACATTTTTTAAAATTTAAGTTTTATTAATTTTCAAACTGTTTCAGTTTAATATCAATACAATAAAGCTTTTCAATCAATCAATATTCAATAAAGTCACAGTAAAACAGTTGTTTAAGCAAGGAACTAATGTAGACATTTCAAACGGAGTTAGATTCTATACTTTATGGGTAAAATGTCAAATAATTTAATAGAGCTAATCTCATTGACCATATGTAAAAAAAACCACGGCTAGACATTGCAAGAGTTAAGTGCAGATTAAAGATAAATCAGTTTAATATATATAGGGTTACAAGGTTGGAGATCTTGTTTTGCTATGAATTCCATAAACGGGAACCATTTTTCCACAAAGTGGGAGATTTTGGGATATATTTCCGAGTGTAGTAAACGATCTGTAATCACTTGTAACATTTGTTGAAGGGCCTCCTGACACAGACCACGGGTCTCTCAAGAATATCACAGGCCCTCCAAGGTCTCAGGCAGAGGTCTTTCACATCACCTTCTACTTGATCCTTTTACCTGGGATCAAACCTGTGATCTTGCATACAAAGCAGGTGCTCTATATTTTGTATTTATATCTTGTATTTATGCACTCAAACATGCCAACACAGGGCTGTTACAATTAGTCCTCTTCTTCCTTTCAGCGCTCAACCCCACGCACATTTACTCAGCCTGAGATGTCACTGAAATAAGCATACTTTGCATTTATATAGCTCTTGCAGTCTTCATGGCCCAGGGGTCATTTCCTGCAGGAGCGCACAGGAGCGGAGCTCCAGCAGTAAGGAGCACAGTGGGTGGGCACATGCAACAAGCCCCTCCCCCTGCTCCCAGCAGCCCTCAGCAAGAGGCAGCCAGGTAAGTTGCAGAGCCCCCCCCCAGTCCGCCTTCAGGTACAAGCTCTCCCTCCTCTGTGAGGGCAGATCTGCAGTCCAGTGGAGCCTGAGCGGTGGGTGTTGCCTTCTGACACACTTTTGGTGATGTCAAGGGGTGTAGCATATGCAAATAAGTTATGCTAATGAGCTCCTGCACCTCTTTTTCTACGAAATGACCCTTGTCATGGCCCATTGGAAAACTTAATTTTGTGGTCATCTGTACAGCAGCCCCGTAAGGTGGTGTTGTTGTTCAGTCGCACAGTCGAGTCCAACTTTTCGCGACCCCATGGACCACATCACGCCAGGCCCTCCCGTCTTCCGTCATGCTCCAGAGTTTGCTCTTTTACCCTGAACAAGAGGCTCTTTAGGTCCTCTTCACTTTCTGCCATTACAGTGTTATCGTCTGCATATCTAAGGTTGTTGATGTTTTCCCCAGCAATCTTAATTCCGGTTTCTGAATCATCCAGGACGGCATTTCGCATGATGTACTCTGCATACCTCCATGGTAAAGGTAAAGGTAAAGATTCCCTTGCTCGAAAGCCAGTTGAATCCGACTCTAGGGTTGCGGTGCTCATCTCCGTTTCAAAGTCGAAGAGCCAGCGCTGTCTGAAGACACTTCCGTGGTCATGTGGCCGGCATGACTAAACACCAAGGCGCACGGAACGCTGTTCCCTTCCCACCGAAGTGGTACCTATTTATCTACTTGCAATTTCTTGCTTTCGAACGGCTAGGTTGGCAGGAGCTGGAACTAGAGACGGGAGCTCACTCCGTCATGAGGCACACTCGGGTCTCGAACTGCTAAATACCGACCTTCCACAGCCTGCAGTTCAGCGTCTTAACCACTTGAGCCACCGCAGCTCCTCACCTGGAAGATAGGCCAGTATAATTAACCCCATAGTACAGAGGGGAGGAAGGTTAAAGTCAGCACCTAGTCCTGTTTAATGAGTTCATGGAAGAGCCGCAAGATTTGAATGGGAGACTTTGCAGATCTTACCCACCACATCCAGCTGGTTCAGCAATGAGTATGCAGAACTGTGGAAGAGGAAAGCTTTTCAAGGTTCGCATGTACAACAAGGCAAGCTTCACCTGCTGAATTTCTGCCTGCCAACACAGCCCAGGAACCCCTCCTTCTCCAAGTTATACTGAGGTCAGAATACCCAAGTTTCAGGTTTGGGGCTGGTCTTTCTCTTTCTTCATTAACGGCACCAGAAAAGCCTTGTCCAGGCATGCCAATGCAAGGATGGGGAAAGCTTTGCCTTTCTTGCCGAACTAGCAATACGCCAATGCTCTTCCTCGAAGAGAAGAAGAAAAGAGACTGGATTTATACCCCGCCCTTCACTACCTGAAGGCGTCTCAGAGTGGCTTACAAACTCCTTTCCCTTCCCCTCCCCACAACAGACGCCCTGTGAGGTGGGTGGGGCTGAGAGAGCTTTGACAGAAACTGCTCTTTTCAAGGACAGCTCTGCCAGAACTATGGCTTGCCCAAGGTCATCCAGCAGGTGCAAGTGGAGGAGTGGGGAATCAAACCCAGTTCTCCCAAACTACAGTCCACACACTTAACCACTACACCAAACCGGCTCTCTTGAGTGAAAGTGTTGGAAGGGCAGAGCGCCTTCAGACAGGCCTGAACAACTGGTGCCCCCAAACAGCTGAATACAGCTTGCCCACCACACATTCAGTGTTCCCTCTAAGCTGAGTTGGTGTGAGCTAGCTCACAGTTTTTTACCCTCCAGCTCACAGATTTTTGTCTTAGCTCAGGAAGGACGGCTCCAGAGCAAACTGATTTATGCAGTCACCAAATCGCTCGCTCACAACTTTAAGGCCTGTAGCTCACAAAGTAGAATTTTTGCTCACAAGACTCCACAGCTTAGAGGGAACATTGCACACATTGCGCCCTGAAGCATGCTTTATAGTCCTCCAAGTTTTGCAACCATAGGCAGGAAGCAAAAAACAAAAAGCCCAGGGGTGGCATAGAAAGTCTCAGGCCAAATGAAGGCATGGTCAGACTATGCTAAACTATGTCAAGTTAAGAGGCCCTGTAGCATCACCAACTCTCTCCTTCCCCCCGAACAAAGTTTGAGTCCAGTGGCACTTTTAAGACCAACAAATCTTAATTAAAGTATAAGTTTTCGTGTGCAAGCACGTTTTTCCAGATATCATTGTATCCAGGGGTCATTTTGTAGAAAAAGAGGTGCAGCAGCTCATTAGCATAACGCATTAGCATAACTCATTTGCATATGCCACACCCCCTGACATCACCGGACGTGTGTCAGAAGGCAACACCCACCGCTCAGGCTCCACTGGACTGTTTTAGATTGCTAGCTATTGGGGGGAGGGAAACGTGCAGATCTGTCCTAGCAGAGGAGGGAGAGCTTGTACCTGAATAAAACTTGGCCTTAAAGGTGCCACTGGACTGTTTTGGACCGGCAGGCCTGGGGGAACTCTGCAAGTTACCTGGCTGCTTCTTGCTCTGCCTGAGGGCTGCTGGGAGCAGGGGGCGGGGCTTATTGCATGTGCCCGCCCCCTGGGCTCTTTACTGCCGGAGCTCCGCTCCTTTGCGCTCCTGCAGGAAATGACCCCTGATTGTATCTGAAGACATCTGCGTGCCCATGAAAGCTTCTACCCAGAATTAAACTTGGTTGGTCTCAAAGGTGCCCCACTGGACTCAATCTTTGTTCTGCTGCTTCAGACCAACAGGGCTACCCACCTGAATCTATCTCCCCCGCCGCAGTAATTGTTTTGTGTTTAGGAGCCACTGCCAGTCCGAGTAGACAATGCTGACCTGGGTGGACCAAGGATCTGATTCGGTGTGAGGCAGCATCACGTGTTCATGTGTTGGGTTGCCAACCTCCAGGTGGAGGCTGGGGAGCTCCTGGGATTACAACTGATCTCCAAGCAAAAATATGGCCACTTTGGAAAGAAGAAGAAGATTTATACCCGGCCCTTCACTACCCAGAGGAGTCTCAGAGCGGCTCACAGACTCCTTTCCCTTCCCCTCCCCACAGCAGACACCCTGGGAGGTAGGAGGGGCTGAGAGAGCTCTGAGAGAAACTGCTCTTTTTTCAAGGACAGCTCTTATCAGAACTATTTATTTATTTATTTACCCAAGGTCATCCAGCCAGGGGCAAGTGGAGGAGTGGGGGAATCAAACCCGGTTCTCCCAGATTAGAGTCCGCGCACTCAACCACTACACCAAACTGGATGTGATGCTGTGATCACACACACTAGATAATCCACTTCCAATGCACTTTCCAGCTGGATTTTGCCGGTTCACACAGTAAAATCCAGTTGGAAAGTGCATTGAAAGTGGATTATTTAGTGGGTGTGATCGCAGCCTAGCAGTAGAAAATCAGGGCCACCCCCCAGCATACCATGTCTCATACTTATGCTAAATTTATGCTACATTTTCTTGCAATCCTAGTCCTATTACATTGCTTATTAGTTGTCTCCAATGCTCCCTCTAAGCCATGGAGTCTTGTGAGCAAAAATTCCACTTTGTGAGCTACTGGCATTAAAGTCATGAGCGAGCAATTTGGCTCCTGCATACATTAGTTTGCTCTGGACCCATCCTTCCTGAGCTGAGACAAAAATGTGTGAGCCAGAGGCTAAAAAACTGTGAGCTAGCTCACACTAACTCAGCTTAGAGGGAACACTGGCTCTGTCCTATTGACCGCATCGACTTAGCGGGTGGGCCGCCTTGCGTGTCATACAGTTGCCAGTCTCCCTGTGGTGGCTGGAGTTCTCCCGGAATCAAAACTGGTTTCCAGGTAGAAGAGATCACTTCCCCTGGAGACAATGGCAGTTTTGGAAGGTGGACTCTATGGCATCATACCGCACCGAGGCCTCTCCCATCCCCCAAACCCCGCCCTCCCTAGGCTCCACCCCCCAAATCTCCAGGCCTTTCACAATCCAGAGTTGGTAACACTAGAAAGGCAGACTATCAATCACACAAATAAATGATCAGCATCAGGGCTATTCTTGGGCAGAAAAGTTCCAGCTGGCTCCCGAGTTGGCCACGCCCACCAGGAACTCATTAGCATAATAGGCCACACCCAACAGCAGGAACTCATTAGGACTGGCCACATTAGGGGTGTGTGGCCTAACATGCAAAGGAGTTCCTGCTACAAGAAAGGCCCTGGGTTTGGACAACAAAGAAGGTAAACAGAATAAGAAGCAAAAGGTGGGTGTGGCTGGATGAGCACACTTCTGGTAACATGGGGGGGCGGCCTAATGTGCTAATAAGCTGTGCTGTCAGGGGTGTGGCCTAATATGCTAATGAGTTTCTGCTATTGGGTTTGGCCTATTATGCTAAAGAGTTCCTGCTGGGCTTTTTCTACAAAAAGAACCCTGATCAGCATCATCTAAAAGGCGCTACACAGTAAGGAAACTTTCCAGCTTACTTCTTTCCCTACTAACTAGTCATGCTGTCGTTTATTACAAGAATAATCCCAACCGAACTTCCCAGCGTCCCTGTGCGCATGTGCAAGAGAAGACCCATCCACGCACCCCGCCCTCCTTTCCCGTATGGACTCGCTCCACTAAACTCTGTGCCCAATACCAACATGGCCGTTTTAGCGTCATCCGCCTGACGTCATTTTCAGGCGCCCGCGCGGAAGAACCGACCCCCGTGTGCTGCACATGGGAATGTGCCGCTGAGCCTGCGAGCCGTTCGGGGCGTTGCTGGGAGCTTCTCTGCCTCGTTGCTCCGGCTCTGCTCTTTATTGTATTTATTGTGCGTGTTTCGCCATGGCCGGGATTCTTTTCGAGGATATTTTCGACGTGAAGGACATCGATCCGGAGGGCAAGAAGTTCGATCGGGGTAAGAGAGGGGAAGGGAGTCTCTCTTTCCCCACTCTCCGGCGCTTGCTTTTGTTACTCTGCCTTTTTCGGGGCCGGGACTTCTTCCTTTCTCCCGTCTTTCCTCCCCAGGAGCTGGAAACGTTGCCGGGTTTTCTCAGCTTCTCTTGTGTCGCATTCACGACATCCCTGCGGGGTAGATCCGCAACTCTCACGCCGGGAGCGAGTTGCGTCCGCGCATCGTTGGACGTAGTGTGATTGTTTGCCCCTAAAACTGGACTTTCCCACGAGGAAAAAAACCAGTCCAGTTGTAAATGATTGCGATAGTCAGTGTCCGGTGGGTAGCCGTGTTTAGATGCCGTCGAAGTGCAGAGCAAGTTTGGAGTCCAGTCGCATCCTAAGAAGTTAATCAAAGAGTGATTAACACTTGGAATTCACTGCCACAGGAAGCGGTGGCGGCTACAAGCATGGACGGCTTCAAAAGGGAATTAGATAAGCATATGGAGCAGAGGTCCATCAGTGGCTATTAGCCACAAGGTATAGATAGGGGCTCTGGGGCAAGTGATGCTCTGTCTTCTTGGTGCTTGGGGGGGGGGCAACAGTGGGAGGGCTTCTAATGTCCTGGCCCCACTGGTGGACCTCCTGATGGCACTGGTATTTCTGGCCACTGTGTGATACAGAGTGTTGGACTGGATGGGCCTTTGGCCTGATCCAACATTGGCATCTCTTATGTTCTTAAGTTCCATCAACATTTTCCAGGGCACAAGAATTTTGTGAGTCAAAGCTCACTCTGTCAAAGGAAGATTCAGGTGGGGGTAGGCGTGTTGGTCTAAAGCAGCAGAACAACTGTTTGCATCCAGTGGCACCTTTAAGATCAACCAAGTTTAATTCTGGGTATAACCTTTTGTGTGCAAGCGCACTTCTTCAGATACTATTAGATTGGGAAATTATGCCCAGAAAGCTTATATATCTGAAGAAGTGTGCATGCACACAAAAGCTTGTACCCAGAATTAAACTTGGTCGAAGGTGCCACTGGACTCAACATTTATTCTGTCAAAGAAGGAAGTGAGCTTTGATTCATGAAAACGTATACCCTGGGAAATGTTGTTGGTCCTTAAGCCGCTGCATTTAATTTTACAGATACTATGGACTGCCAATAAAAGACCAATAAATGGGTTCTAGATCAAATCAAGCCAGAACTCTCCCTAGAAGCTGAAATGACTAAACTATGGCTATCGTGTTTTGCTCACATCATGAAATGACAAGAAGTGTTGGAAAATGCAATCATGCTTGGAGAAGTGGAAGGCAGCAGGCAAAGGAAGACCCAACATGAAATAGATGGACTCAATCAAGGAAGCCGCAAAGGCCCTCAGTTTGCAACCCCTGAGCAAGACTGTTAGCGAGAGGATGTTCTGGGGGTCATTCACAGGCTCGCTGTCAGTTGGAAATGACTTGACAGCAGGGGTCATTTCCTATAGGAGTGCACAGGAGCGGAGCTCCAGCAGTAAGGAGCCCAGGGGGCGGGCACATGCAACAAGCCCCGCTCCCGGCAGCCCTCAGTTGGGCCACGAGGAGCAAGAAGCAGCCAGCTAAGTTGCAGAGCTCCCTCCAGTCCAAAACAGTCCAGTGGCACCTTTAAAACCAAGTTTTATTCAGGTACAAGCTCTCCCTCCTCTGCAAGGACAGATCTGCACGTTCCCCCCCCCCCAATAGGTAGCAATCCAAAACAGTCCAGTGGAGCCTGAGCGGTGGGTGCTGCCTTCTGACACACTTCCAGTGATGTCAGGGGGTGTGACATATGCAAATAAGTTATGCTAATGAGCTCCTGCACCTCTTTCCCCCCTGCTTGACAGTATCTAACGCATTCATGCGCAGCTACTGGTCTTGAATTTTGTTCTTTCTTAGTGTAGAGTCCAGTTATGACTGCATCCACCTATAGTTGCCAAATTTGGGTTTATCTGATGCTAAACAGAAGCCATGCAAGTTTTTTTCTGTAATGCAGTTTGGGAGTACAGAAAGCTACACAATTGAATATTGCCATCTCCCCTCCTCCTTTCCCGTGTGCTTTTCTGCTCTTTTCCTGTATCACACAACTCTTACGCCTTGGTCCAGGTCTACCTGTACCAGAAGCCAAAATTGTTATTCATGGAACCTTTGTGACTGGGTCTGCTCAGGACTCCCTGGAACACAGGCCGGTAATTGTTAGGCAGAACTAAGTCATTTTCATGAGAAGGACATGCCAATTCTTAATCTGTAGCTAAAGGGTAACTGATTCGAGAACAAAGCAAATGGGTTCATTGTTCATGTAGAAAAAGGAAATACTACTTTACACAGGGAGTGTGGAATCCACTGCCAAAGGATGCAGTGATGGCCACAGGAATAAACAGCTTGAAAGCGGGATTAGGTAGATTCATGGAGGAGAAGTCTGTCAATGGCTACTGCCCATGGTGACTGAGGGGAACCTCCACATTCAGAGGTACTAATCCTCTCAATCCCAGAGCCAGGAGGCAACATCGGGGGAAGGCCTCGGCCTCCCTGCCCTGTTGTTGGCTCTATGGAGGAACTGGTTGGCCTCTGTGTGAGACACAATGCTGGACTAGAGGGACCGCTGGTCTGATCAAGCAGGGTTCTTCTTGTGTTCTTCCAAAGGCCTTGGCCTCTCTGCCCTGTAGCTGGCTGTCCAGAGGAACTGTTTGGCCACAGTGTGAGGTGGGATGACTATTGGTCTGATCCAGCAGGGCTCTTCTGATGTTCTTATGAAGGCCTCGACCTCTGTACTCTGTTGTTGGCCCTCTGGAGGAACTGGTTGGCCACTGTGTGAGGTAGGATGCTGGACTAGATGGACCACTGGTCTGACCCAGCAGGACTCTTCTGATGTTCTTATGAAGACCCCGGTCTCTATGCCCTGTTGTTGGCCGTCCAAAGGAACGAGTTGGCCACTGTGTGAGAGAGGATGCTGAACTAGATGGACCATTGGTCTGATCCAGCAGGGCTCTTCTGATGTTTGTATATAAAAGCAGCCTTTTATGTAGTGTGAGATAGAGAAGCGTGAGATATACAGGCAACTGTTGAGTCATTGGTAAGAGATTATCAATGCCCATTGAGTATGCGTGTTAGAACCCACAGCCAACAATGAAGTACACGCATTCAAGAACGGTAATACTTTTATTGCAGAGCTATAGATGCAGTAACATAAGCACTGTTAAGAATGGTGGCGGCCCCATGGGCATAATAGGATATAGGGTATTCGTATGTACCCCCCCCCACACACACAGCACTGGCCAATTAGGCGCCCTCCCGCGCGTGGGATAAAGCTTGGAGACCGTTAGGTAGCTAAAGCTGAGAACCAACACTCTCCCACGGCACCTAGGAAAAACCCAGACGATACAACTCCCTCCTGCACATCTGTATAGATAAGCATTTCAGCGCACAGCAGAAAAAGCACAGAAAGGAATGCAGTAGCAATTAACCAGACACAGACCGAGCTCCCCAACCCCCATGGCGGCGTAGCTGACAATGCGTCAGTTCAGGTTTATTTTAAACAATTGAAGCTTTGTGCTTGATTTTTTTAAAACGTGCTGGAATAGGATTTGGGAGACCCAGGTTCAAATCCCCCCTCTGTCATGGAAGCTTTGCTGGGCGACCTTGGTCCAGTCATACAGTCTCAGCCTAGCCTACCTCACAGGACTGTTGTAGAGGTAAAAGAGAAGAGGAGAATGGAGTAAGCAGCTTGTGGTCCCCATTGGGTTTAAAAGAGGCGTGTAAATAAAAGAAGACATAATTTTGAATCCGCTCTGGAGTGGGGAGGCTGGTGTAGCTGCTCCTTCTTTGAAGCTAGTTCCGATTGTACACTGCCGAGCACTCCTAATGAAGAATTCTGACAGGTATTGGATGCGTTAACTGGGACAAAAGGGGGGGGGGGGCGAATGAACCTATAAACCTGGGATCCAGAACCTGAAAAGGTTAGTCAAGTAGAAAAGAGGGCCAACAATAAAAGCTTAATATATCTATAGTATATAAAAAGATACATGTATTTCTTAACAAAGAATTGAAAAACATATAAGGCCCAATCACACCTCATGTAAAAATACCAGAATCTAACACAAGAGGGCCAATGGACTTGACCTGATGCGTTTTGGCCTGCATAGGCCTTCTTCAGAGGTCAAACACAGTGAGGGACATATTGGCTTATACAATAGTACAGTACAATCATACAGATATACAATATAAATACCAGAAGGACCAGAAGAAAGTTGCTGTAAAAAATAGAAAAATGGGAAATGAAATACATACCGTACTGCACATAGTGCACGGTAGGGCTGCCAAGCCGCGGCGGGGGATCCGTGCGTCTTCAGAGGATCCCTGCCGCGGGGGACAGCGATACGCGTTGCACCGCCGTTGCCAGGATGTGACGCTACGCGTCACTCTGGCAACGGGACTCCAAACAGCCCCGTTGCCAGAGCAGATCCGTGTGAAGATGCACGGATCCCCCGCCGCGGCTTGGCTGCCCTAGTGCATGGCCCGCAAAGTCATCATTAAGCAGCTGCCATAAGAGTGACGAGCGGAATAACATCTAAAGACTTTATGCTGGGAGCTGGAAACCCATCTGAAAGCATTCCTTCTGATTGAATTTTAACTCCCGCCAGCACTTTAACTGTTATGTTTTAATTTGTATTATGTATGTTTTTATCATGTATTTATGTCGTTGGAAGCCACCCTGAGCCTGCTTTGCAGGGAGGGCGGGGTATATGGTAAATCTGACAATAAATAAATAAATTTTAAAAATACAATAAAATGAATAAATAAATTATAGGTAAAAGTAAAGGTCCCCTTGCTCGAAAGCCAGTCAAATCCGACTCTAGGGTTGTGGTGCTCATCTCCGTTTCGAAGCCGAAGAGCCAGCGCTGTCCAAAGATGTTTCCGTGGTCATGTGGCTGGCATGACTAAACACCAAGGGGCACAGAACGCTGTTCCCTTCCCACTGAAGTGGTACCTATTTATCTAGTTGCAATTTCTTGCTTTCGAACTGCTAGGTTGGCAGGAGCTGGAACTAGAGACGGGAGCTCACTCCATCATGCGGCACACTCGGGTCTCGAACTGCTGAACTACCGACCTTCCACAGCCTGCAGTTCAGCATCTTAACCACTTGAGCCACCGCAGCACCTTAAAATTATAATTATAAGTATATTCTACTAAAAAACATATTGACTTACTTCCAAAATGAAGACACTAGGCACAGAATAAAAGTACAAATGAGGCCTCCAAGGTCGTTAATAAATACATGTATCTTTTTATATACTATATATATTAAGCCACCCTGTTGGTCCTTTCACAGTTTCCCGACTCCACTGCGAGAGCGAGTCCTTTAAGATGGACCTGATCCTGGATGTGAACGTACAGATCTATCCCGTCGACTTGGGTAAGTGGGTGAGGTGAGGGTTGGGATGTCACCTGAAGCCGGAAGAGGGCCTGGAACTGCGTGTACCCGGCTCCAACGATCTGCCTAATTCACACTCTATTCCCAAAGCGCACCTTTGTCTGGCGTCTTTCTGGATGCTCCTGAGGTTTTCCACCTACACCTTTTCTATACTTGAGCCACTCATCTTCTCCTTATTGGATGAAGTAAAGGACTCCTAGCTTAGGACATAAGAACTTAAGAGGAGCCCTGCTGGATCAGACCAGTGGTCCCCTCCAATCCAGCATGCTGTCTCACACAGGGGCCAACCAGTTTCTCTGGACGGCCAACAACCGGGCACAGAGGCCGAGGCCTTCATAAGAACATCAGAAGAGCCCTGCTGGGTCAGACCAGTGGTCCCTCCAATCCAGCATCCCGTCTCACACAGGGGCCAGCCAGTTCCTCTGGAGGGCCAACAACAAGGCAGAGAGGCCGAGGCCTTCATGAGAACATCAGAAGAGCCCTGCTGGATCAGACCAGTAGTCCATCAAGTCCAGTGTCCTGTCTCACAGAGTGGCCAACCAGTTCCTGTGGACAGCCAACAACGGGGCAGAAGGGCTGAGGCCTTCATAAGAACACAAGAAGAACCCTGCTGGATCAGACCGGTGGTTCATCTAGTCCAGCATCCTGTCTCACACAGTGGCCAACCAGTTTCTCTGGACAGCCAACAACAGGGCAAAGAGGCCGAGGCCTTCCTAAGAACACAAGAAGAGCCCTGCTGGATCAGACCAGTGGTCCATCTAGTCCAGCATCCTGTCTGACACAGTGACCAGCCAGTTCCTATGGACAGCCAACAACAGGGCACAAAGGCCGAGGTCTTCATAAGGACATCAGAGGAGCCTTGCTGGATCAGACCAGTGGTGCATCTCATCCAGCATCCTGCTCACATAGTGGCTAACCAGTTCCTCTGGAAGGCCAACAACCGGGAATAGAGGCCAAGGCCTTCATAAGAACATCAGAAGAGCCCTGTTCAGTCAGACCAGTGGTCCCTCTAGTCCGGCATCCTGTCTCACACAGTGGCCAACCAGTTCCTCTGGGCCTCCAACAACAGGGCATAGACGCCAAGGACTTCCCCTGATGTTGCCTCCTGGCACTGCGATTCAGAAGCTGACTTATTATTGTTATTATTATTAGCGTATGGCAGTGTGTATAAAAAAAATATGGACACACACAACCCAATCAGTTAAACAAGTATAAAGCCAACAGTCGTGATAGTCTGACCCACAATCAAACAGTCATAAGACTTACAAATACACACAAATACAATACCTTTATTGGCATAAACATAAGACTTATAAAGAATGCTGTTTAGGTATTGCAATCTAAAGCACTACAACATGATATACAACATCGCCTCCGGATTACATAACAACGTTTCAAAAAATGAATCTTCTTCAGGAGATATTATAGTGGTGCCAAAGCTCTGTTTCATAAATGTTAGACAACAAGTCTTAAGAATATTAAATTCAGATAGGACGCTGATCTCAATTAACATTCAGGCTCAAAATATGCTGCTATGTTTCTACTGGATCCCGGGCATCTCTTAAGACTCTTATGATTGTTTGATTGTGGGTCAGACTGTCACGACTGTTGGCTTTATACTTGTTTAAGTGTGTATAGTATAGCCAGGAGATCCTAAGATTGTCTGGCAGCCAGAAGTGCTAGCTCTTTGAGTGTTATGCACCACTAGGTGGCGAGCTAGACTTGTTTTGAAGGTAAGAGATGTTTCAGAGGTGGTTTGCCATTGCCTGCCTCTGCATCACAACCCTGGTATTCCTTGGAGTTCCCTGCTTACTGTCCAAGATCTGATGGGGTTGGTCTAGCCTGGGCTATCCTGGTCAGAAACTGACCACCTCTGGACTAGAACACCTGGACTAGATGGACCACTGGTCTGATCCAGAAGGATTCTTCTTATGTTCTTGAAATACCAATAAGAGCACTGAGGATAAAGTAATAAAGCTAAGTATCTCACCTAAGCACAATTACAAGCACTGGTTCAGAGCCGCAGTTTATGGGACAAGACTTTGTCCAATAGAACTGCAAAGTCCAAAACAGGGACTCCGGCCTACCTGGTGCACCCAGCATCAAGAGGTGTTGCAAAGTTAGATGTAATCCAGAAAAAGGGCAAAACTAGAAAGAAAGATCTTTCCGTTATGCCCAGCAACCAATTTTGGCATGATTTTATTTGACCAACCAAAGATAATGACCAGTGATGTAACTCAACCAGTGGGGTATTCAACAACAGCAGCCTTTATTGGCATAGCAGATTAGAAGACGACGAGGAAAAGGAGATTGGATTTATACCCTGCCCTTCACTCGGAGTCTCAGAGTGGCTTACAAACTCCTTCCCCCTCCCCTCCCCACAAGAGACACCCCGTGAGCAGTGTTCCCTCTAAGCTGAGTTAGTGTGAGCTGGCTCACAGTTGCTTAGCCTCCAGCTCATACATTTTTGTCTTCGCTCAGGAAGGAAGGATCCAGAGCAAACTAATTTCTGCAGTAGCCAATTTGCTCGCTCACAATTTTAATGCTAGTAGCTCACAAAGTAGAATTTTTTCTCACAGCTTAGAGGGGAGGGTGGTGTAAAAAATCAAAGTAATAAATAAATAATAAAACATTGCCTGTGAGATAGGTGGTAAATCCAAACAACAAGGGGAAACGGCTGGTGTCACAGAAGTCCCAAATATACAAATTCCACTAGTAGAAAGCACCATCAAAGTTTGCCAAAACAATATATTAAACCATTATAACGTTGGTGGTGCCACAACAACGACATTTATGCATACCGTAATTGTAATAAGGCATTAGATATAATATTCCTCCTTTGAGAACCTATGATCCAATTTCGTGGGCACTCCATGAAATTGCTGAGCGGTCGGGTTAGAACGGATAAAAGGAAGTACTTCTTCACCCAAAGAGTGATTAACACTTGGAATTCACTGCCACAGGAAGTGGTGGCAGCTACAAGCATGGACGGCTTCAAAAGGGAATTAGATAAGCATATGGAGCAGAGGTCCATCAGTGGCTATTAGCCACAAGGTATAGATAGGGACTCTGGGGCAAGTGATGCTCTGTCATCTTGGTGCTTGGGGGGGTCAACAGTGGGAGGGCTTCTAATGTCCTAGCCCCACTGGTGGACCTCCTGATGGCACTGGTATTTCTGGCCACTGTGTGATACAGAGTGTTGGACTGGATGGGCCTTTGGCCTGATCCAACATTGGCATCTCTTATGTTCTTATGATCCGCTCCTTACACTATGAACATTTTGGTCTGTTGAAATTGCTGAAATCAGGGTGAGTGTATTTTTCAGGCATTTTTTTAAAACAATTCTGTTTTTCATATGTGTTTTTGTGGCTAGGCATTTGTGTAAATCTCTTCACAGTTCCACTTACACAGCCGGCAAACTGAAGAAGTTGAAGGGAACGCATCTTCCAAATATCTAGAATGGGCGTCTTTGCAAACGCTGTTTGGAAAATGTTATAACTATGGGGACTCCTCCTATCAAGTTATTAAGTTACACTGAGTACATGGACTTGATGTCTTATCTTCAGAGGAGGAATATTGTATCTAATGCCTTATTACAGTTACAGTGGCATGGAAATATTCTAAGTAAACAGGCAAGGCTAAGAGAATGTGATTGGCCCAAGGACACCCAGCAATTTTTTTAATGGCAGGGTGGAGATTTGAACCTGGGATATTCCTTATGGTCTGGCCGGCTGGTCTGAGCTGAGATTCTCACCTTTGACTCCTCGTTCTCTTCTCTGTTGCAGGTGACAAATTCCGCCTCGTGATCGCCAGCACCTTGTACGAAGACGGGACCTTGGACGACGGGGAGTATAACCCCACTGATGACCGACCCTCCAGGTAAGAATGGGAGAATCCACAAGAGGGGAGGAACCGTAGCTGCAGTTGAGTCACAAATCAGAGTCGTGGCCTGATCCCTACTGCGTCTGGAATATGGGTCGAATTTTCAAAGATAGGACCAGGGAAAGCAACCTGTGGAGGGTCAGAGAAGTCTCTGCTGTGGTTCTGGTTCCCTTTCAGACATGTTAGGATCAAATTCTATCTACTGTAGACTGTGACCTTCCAGCCACCAGGGCTGCCTATTAATAGGGATGGGCATGAACCACATTTTTATGGTTCAGTTCATGGGTGAACCATGAACCGATAGGTTGGTTCGCAAATTGAACAGTTTCATATTGGTTCGGGACTCCCTGCTTTCTGCTCCCCACTGCTTTTGGGGGGAGCAGAAAGCAGGGGTTTAACTGGCTCAGAGCCATTTGAACCTGCTTTCTGCTCCCCACCACTCAGCTGTTTTTCATAAAGAACAGAAAACAGGGTGCTTTCTTCGCGAACCACCATGAACTGCCTTAAAATTCGTGGAAGTTCACGGCAGCTCTTCAGTTCGCGAACATTGCTTTGCGAACCACAAACCAGTCAGAATTCATCACAAACATTTGTTCGTGAGCCAGTCCATGGCCATCCCTACTTATTAACTCAAAGCGCTGCACTGTTTGCAGGTCTGAAACCAGAGCCATTTGCTACTTTTGTACAACGTATTACTTTGGGAATCCCTCAAGCCATAGATCTCAGGAAACCCCTCTAGAATTTCTCTGCTGCTGTAGCTCCTCCTGGACCAGAGAGGGCTACCTAGAAGGGTCATGGTGGTTTACCTTCCTGGGTTGTCTAGGGACCTTGCCACATTGTCTAGGGAGCTCCACGAGACATCGAATGGAGACAGGCAGAATCTCCTGGGCCACAAAACTTAACACTGTTTGAAAAAGAGGTGCTCAGGTGATCAGAGAATCTGTATTAAGTGCCCTAAGCTGTGCTTCGAATGCTTAAAAATTGGAGTTGGCAGATTCAGGCCATCTGCTTCTTTAAATGTCATTTAAATGTGTGTTTCAGTTACGGTGGAATACAAAAGGCATTTCCTGAAAACAAAGAACCATAATAAGTGCCTGAGGTTGTAATGATAGGGAAAATATACAATTTCAGAGAGAGTCGGGTGAGCAGCCATGTTGGTTTGAAGCAGCAGAACAAAGTTAAGAACATCAGAGAAGCCAAAGTTGGATCAGGCCAGTGGCCCATCCAGTCCAACACTCTGCCACACAGTGGCCAAAAGTACCAGGTGCCATCAGGAGGTCCAGCAGTGGAGCCAGGACACTAGAAGCCCTCCCACTGTTGCCCCCCCCCCCAAGCACCAAGAATACAGAGCATCCCTTGCCCCAGACCAAGAGCACCTATCTATACCTTGTAGCTAAGAGCCACTGATGGACCTCTGCTCCATATGCTTATCCCATTCCCTCTGCTCCATATAAGAACATAAGAGAAGCCAAAGTTGGATCAGGCCAATGGCCCATCCAGTCCAACACTCTGCCACACAGTGGCCAAAAGTACCAGGTGCCATCAGGAGGTCCAGCAGTGGAGCCAGGACACTAGAAGCCCTCCCACTGTTGCCCCCCCCCCCAAGCACCAAGAATACAGAGCATCCCTTGCCCCAGACCAAGAGCACCTATCTATACCTTGTAGCTAAGAGCCACTGATGGACCTCTGCTCCATATGCTTATCCCATTCCCTCTGCTCCATATAAGAACATAAGAGAAGCCAAAGTTGGATCAGGCCAATGGCCCATCCAGTCCAACACTCTGCCACACAGTGGCCAAAAGTACCAGGTGCCATCAGGAGGTCCAGCAGTGGAGCCAGGACACTAGAAGCCCTCCCACTGTTGCCCCCCCCCCCAAGCACCAAGAATACAGAGCATCCCTTGCCCCAGACCAAGAGCACCTATCTATACCTTGTAGCTAAGAGCCACTGATGGACCTCTGCTCCATATGCTTATCCCATTCCCTCTGCTCCATATAAGAACATAAGAGAAGCCAAAGTTGGATCAGGCCAATGGCCCATCCAGTCCAACACTCTGCCACACAGTGGCCAAAAGTACCAGGTGCCATCAGGAGGTCCAGCAGTGGAGCCAGGACACTAGAAGCCCTCCCACTGTTGCCCCCCCCCCCAAGCACCAAGAATACAGAGCATCCCTTGCCCCAGACCAAGAGCACCTATCTATACCTTGTAGCTAAGAGCCACTGATGGACCTCTGCTCCATATGCTTATCCCATTCCCTCTGCTCCATATAAGAACATAAGAGAAGCCAAAGTTGGATCAGGCCAATGGCCCATCCAGTCCAACACTCTGCCACACAGTGGCCAAAAGTACCAGGTGCCATCAGGAGGTCCAGCAGTGGAGCCAGGACACTAGAAGCCCTCCCACTGTTGCCCTCCCAAGCACCAAGAACACAGAGCATCACTTGCCCCAGACCGAGTGTTCCTATCTATACCTTGTGGCTAACAGCCACTGATGGGACCTCTGCTCCATATGCTTATCTAATTCCCTTTTGAAGCCTTCCATGCTTGTAGCCGCCACCACCTCCTGTGGCAGTGAATGCCATGTGTGAATCACTCTTTGGGTGAAGAAGGACTTCCTTTTATCCGTTCTAACCCGACTGCTCAGCAATTTCATGGAGTTCCCACGAGTTCTTATATTGTTCGAGACCAGTGGCACCTTTAAGACCCACCAAGTTTTATTCAAGGGGTGAGCTTTCGTGTGCAAGCACACTTCCTCAGACACAGCGAAATGGAACTTACCAGTTATCACTCTCTATCTATATGTATGGACGGATAACTTCCATTTCAGTGTGTCTGAGGAAGTGTTCGCGCACACGGAAGTTCACACTTTGAATAAAACTTTGTTGGTCTTCAAGGTGCCAGCTGGACTCAAACTTTGTCTTGATTTCAGAGAGAATAATACTTTAAAAAAAAAAAACAATCCACCCTAATGCTCTCTTCGTCCTGGCTTGGATCGCCCAGGCGAGCCTGATCCCGTCAGATCTCGGAAGCTAAGCAGGGTCGGCCCCGGTTAGTACTTGGATGGGAGACCGCCAAGGAAGTCTGAGGTTGCTATGCAGAGGTAGTTGCAGAGGGTTTTCCTGTTGGTCTGCGGTAGAACAGCCAGGATTGAGCCCCGGAACACTTTAGAGACCAACAGTTTTGGTTTTTTTGAGGGTATGAGCTTTCGAGAGCTCTGAGTGCGAATCTAGCTATGCAGAGGCAGGCAACGGGAAATCACTTCTGAATGTCTCCTTCCTTGAAAACCCGAAGGGGCCTCCGTAAGCCGGCTGTGGCTCGACGGCACCTTCCACCACCACCAATCCTCTCTTGTAATCTCCTTCTTCCTCGCAGAGCCGACCAGTTTGAGTACGTGATGTACGGGAAGGTATACAGGATCGAAGGGGACGAGACGTCCACGGAGGCGGCCACGCGACTGTAAGTGTCCCCGCTTCTGTCTCTCGCACAGATACAGTATTCCGGTATGCTGGAGACCCCAGGAATTGGATTGAACTCTCAGAGCACGCACGTCCTGTCTCTGGTGTGGGGGTCCTGTCCCTGAATCTACCGTACCAACCTGCCGTATACTGAGCCAAACGGTTGGCCCATTCAGGCTAGCGTGGATTATGCCGATCGGCAGTGACTCCATGAGGTCAAGCGCAGCAATCTTTCCTCTTTATTGATAATGCCGGGGATGTCTGGGTCAGGGATGCTCTGTATCCTCGATGCTTGGGGGGGCAACAGTGGGAGGGCTTCTAGGGGTCTGGCCCCGCTGGTGGACTTCCTGACGGCACCTGGGTTTTGACCACTGTGTGACACGGAGGGATGGGCCGTTGGCATGATCCAACATTGGCTTCTTTTAGGTTCTTATATGGAGTAGAGGTCCAGCAGTGGCTATTAGCCACACGGTACGGCTGCGGTGGCTCAAGTGGTTAAGACGCTGAACTGCAGGCTCTGGAAGGTTGGTAGTTCAGCAGTTCGAGACCCGAGTGTGCCGCATGACAGAGTGGGCTCCCGTCTCTAGTTCCAGCTCCTGCCAACCTAGCAGTTCGAAAGCAAGAAATTGCAAGTCGATAAATAGGTACCACTTTGGTGGGAAGGTAACAGTGCTCTGTGCGCCTTGGTGTTTAGTCTTGCCGGCCACATGACCACGGAAACGTCTTCAGACAGCGCTGGCTCTTCGGCTTTGAAACGGAGATGAGCACCGCAACCCTAGAGTCGGATTCGACTGGCTTTCGAGCAAGGGAACCTTTACCTTTACAGGTGGAATATTCTAGGGCAGTGATGCTCTGTATTCTTGGTGCTTAGGGAGGGCTTCTGGAGTTCTGGCCCCACTGGTGGACTTCCTGATGGCACTTTGATTTTGACCGCTGTGTGACACAGAGTGTGAGACGGGATGGGCCATTGGCCTGATCCAACATTGGCTTCTCTTATGCTCTTACTTGGAACATTCCACACAGAAGGCAAGGATGTACTCTGTTACAGAGCTATCATTCTTCTTGAAAAGAATTAATTGTATGGCATTGTGTGTAGAATAGCCGGGAGATCCTAAGTTTGTCTGGCAGTCGGAAGTTCTAGCTCTTTTAGCATTACGTGCCACTTTGTGGTGAGCTAGACTTAGAGGCTAGACAAGAGACGTTTCAGAGGTGGCTTGCCATTGTCTGCCTCTGTGTCACAGCCCTGGTATTCCTTAGAGGTCACCCATCCAAATACCAGCCATGGCCGACCCTGCTTAGCTTACAAGGTCTGATGAAATCAGGCTAGCCTGGGCTATCCAGGTAAGGGCATTTGGAAAGAAAAACGAACTTCAGCCCAGAGAACTCTGGCAATGCAAGCTTCAGGTCATAGAAGCTGGTACTCTGGAAAGTTTTGTCAGTCTTTAAGTCGCTGCTGGATTCAAGTTTGTTTCCAAAGGCATACCGAGTCTGCTCTTGGAATTAGTTCCTGTACATGTTCTGTGTGCTACACATTCAGATGTTTCTAGGGTCCCTCCTTGGCCTCTCCGCTTGGAAAGGTCTTGCATCCCAGGCAGTGCTCTCCCTAAGCTGCGGAAGTCCTGTGAGCAAAAATTCTACTTTGTGAGCTATGAGCATTAAAGTTGTGAGCGAGCGATTTGGCTGCTGCGTAAATCAGTTTGCTGTTCAGCCCGTCCCTCCTGAGCGAAGCCAAAAATGTATGAGCTGGAAGCTAAAAAGCTGTGGGCTAACTCACACTAGCTCAGCTGAGAGGGAACACTGCTCATCGGATCTCAGAAGCTAAGCAGGGTCAGTACTTGGAAAGGAGACCACCAAGGAAGACTCTGAAAGGGAAAGCAATGGCAGACCACCCCTGCTTCTCGCTGGCCTGGAAAGCCCCTTGCTGGGGGAAGCTAAGCAGGGTCAGTCCTTGGAAGGGAGACCACCAAGGAAGGCTCTGCAGAGGAAGGCCATGGCCAACCACCTCTGCTTCTCGCTGGCCTTGAAAGCCCCTTGCTGGGGGAAGCTTAGCAGGGTTGGTACTTGGAAAGGAGACCACCAAGGAAGACTCTGCAGAGGAAGGCAGTGACACAGACCACCTCTGCTTCTCACTGGCCTACAAAGCCCCTTGCTGGGGGAAGCTAAGCAGGGTTGGTCCTTGGAAGGGAGACCACCAAGGAAGGCTCTGCAAAGGAAGGCCATGGCCAACCACCTCTGCTTCTCACTGGCCTTGAAAGCTCCTTGCTGGGGGAAGCTAAGCAGGGTTGGTACTTGGAAGGGAGACCACCAAGGAAGACTCTGTAGAGGAAAGCAATGGCACAGACCACCCCTGCTTCTCACTGGCTTTGAAAGCCCCTTGCTAGGAGAAGCTAAGCAGGGTTGGTACTTGGAAGGGAGACCACCAAGGAAGGCTCTGCAGAGGAAGGCCGTGGCCAATCACCTCTGCTTCTTCCTCACCTTGAAGTCCCCTTGCAGGGGGGAGCTAAGCAGGGTTGGTACTTGGGTGGGAGCCCACCAAGGAAGGCTCTGCAGAGGAAGGCCGTGGCCAATCACCTCTGCTTCTTCCTCCCCTTGAAATCCCCTTGCAGGGGGGAGCTAAGCAGGGTTGGTACTTGGGTGGGAGACCACCAAGGAAGACTCTGTAGAGGAAAGCAACGGCACAGACCACCCCTGCTTCTCACTTGCCTCGAAAGCCCCTTGCTGGGGTCGCTGTAAGTCATCTGCGACTAGACAGTGCTTATGTAACATAGTATACTAGTGGCATAATTCTTTATGGCAGGCCTGGCTTTGGCGGGGAGGGCGGGGTATAAATGAAATAAATAAATCAGCGAAGGCAAGAATGTGTGAGCCGGAGGCTAAAGAAGCGTGAGCTAGTTCACACTAAGTCAGCTTAGGGGGAACGCCGGTCACAGGCTTTGAGAAAAGCCCCTCCCCACCAATGCTCCCTCTAAGCTGTGGAGTCCTGTGAGCAAAAATTCCACTTTTGTGAGCCGCTGGCCTTAAAGTTGTGAGCGAGCAATTTGGCTGCTGCATGAATTAGTTTGTTCTGGAGCCGTCCTCCCTGAGCTGAGACAAAAATGTGTGAGCCGGAAGCTAACAAATTGTGAGCTAGCTCACACTGACTCAGCTTAGAGGGAACACTGGTCCCCACCCAAGATGTCGGGGAGAGCGGCTGCTGGTGGCTTCTTGGTGCCAGGCGGGTTCCCCGTGCCGGGGCCACGTCTGCCTCCCTGGCGCCGTTCTCACCTCTGCCTTCCTTCCTCCTCCAGCTCCGCCTACGTGTCCTACGGCGGTCTGCTTATGAGGCTCCAGGGAGACGCCAACAACCTGCACGGCTTCGAAGTGGATTCCCGGGTCTACCTTCTGATGAAGAAACTAGCCTTCTAACCAGCTGTGGGGCAGGGAGGGGACCACCTGGACTTTATGGGGGCGGGACAGCTTTGCTGCTTCTCGTGTAGATGGGGCAATGCTAGCTGGAGGGAGGGCGGCGGGGCACGAGTGCGAAGCCTGCCACCCACCCCCGGTGGTCGCCCGTCTGTCCTCCTTGCCATGGAAATGTTGAATGGGCGAGCTTCTTTCTCTGCGAAGGAGGACATCCCGGGGAGGGTTGCTCCTCCCACTCGCTCCATGGGCGGAGCTATGCAAACGAGCGTCGGTCCCTTCCCGTGGGTGGAGCTTCGCCCCGCATTCCCAGTCTTGCCTGCTCCCCGGCGAGGTCTGCAGATCTCTTCCTCTTTTTTATTGCCTTTCTAAAACCATACTTGGAACATTTCGGAAGGAGTCTTGCTGGCCGGCCGGCCTGCCTTCAGTGGCCTCTGCTCAGCAGCGATAATGAAGAATTTCCCTTTTCTACAAGCCCAGCCCCCCCCAAAAAAAACGCCAACCTTTATCCATCCCTCCATCCACAACTTCACAGAGTAGAACTTTTTCACCTCCTCCTCCTGCTTCAGCCCCCAGAAAAATTTATGGGGCACTCGGTGGATTTTCGGAACAGCACGGGGGACAGGGGGTGGGTGTTCCGCAGCAGGAGAAAATGGTGGAAGTTGCCTCTTGTGCCAACGGAAGTGTCATCCACTCCCGCAAAAGAACCACCGGTCGCTTCTGACATGTCAAGTAAGCTGAGGAGGGGGGCTGTACTTTGTATTGGTTCCTGAAGGGGCATCTCCTCAAGGCACTGAATTGTAGTTTTGTTACTGTCATTAAACAGAGATGTCTGGGTTTTTTCGTATTTGGCCTTCTGTCGTGTTCTTGGGCTTTTCTGCCTTCTCATTCCCCTCGCGTGCATGTTCCTGTCGCTTTCTTTCCTGTTTTGCTCCTTCTAGTGGTCGATTCGATATTATCCTGCTTGACGTCCAGCATCAAAATCTGCAGGGAGATACGGTGGGTACAGCGGTCTAATATCGAATTGACCACTAGAGGGAGCTAAAGGCATGCGGGAAAGGGAAAAAAAGCACTGAAGCCCCTTGTTTCCTGTGAATGTCACCTCTTGCTTTTTTAGAGAAAAACTGGCACAGAGGAGAGCTTCAGATTTGATTGATGCAACAATGGGTGAGAGGTTAACCTCCCTCCCCCTTCTTCTTCCCTTATCTGAATTGGGTCTTTCTCCTGCCCCACCTCCAGATAGTTGAAGCCCCAGAAGCTAGAAATTACAGCTCCTGTATCTATCCATGTTTTTACCTCCACCATTTTCCCAAGGTGCCCATAGCATGGTAGTGATTCTCCTCTCCTGTTTTTAATCCTTACAACCACCCTGTGAGGTAGGTTCGGCTGGCAGAGTAACCAGGCCAAGGTCACCCGGTGAGCTTCATGACTGAGTGTGGGATTTGAACCTGGGTCTCCCAGTCCTGGATGGCAAGCCCAGTCTCATCAGATCTCCAAAGCTAAGCAGGGTCGGCCCTGGTTTGTACTCGGACGGGAGACCTCCAAGGAAGTCCAGGGTCGCCACGCAGAGGCAGGCAAGGGCAAACCACCACTGTTTGTCTCTTGCCTTGAAACACCTGATCCTCTTGGGGGGTTTTCCTTCTCAGGTCCCTTGGACCCGAACGGGAATCCCAAATATTTCCCGAATCCAAGTACCATACCAGTATTGGGATTCAGGGAGATTGGGAAATACTGATATTCAGGGGGGGGGTTGTAGAAAAAGCCCAGCAGGAACTCATTAGCCTATTAGGCCACACCCCTGACAGCACAGCTCATTAGCCTATTAGGCCACACCCCCATGTTGCCAGAAGTGTGGTCATCCAGCCACACCCACCTTTTGCTTCTTATTCTCTTTACCTTGTCAAAACCCAGGGCTTTTTTTTTGGAGCAGGAACTCCTTTGCATAAGGCCACACCCCCTAATTGTAGCCAATCCTAATGAGTTTCTGCTGTTGGGTGTGGCCTGTTATGTTAATGAGTTCCTGCTGGGCGTGGCCAACTCAGCCAGCCAGAACTCCGTTCCTGTGTGTTCCTGCCCAAAAATAGCCCTGCGTGATATTTTCTGGGTTCAGTATACCCAAACCCGAAAAATACTGGGGTTGGGGGGTTTTTTGCACACCCGTAGCCCTGACCCTAAAGTGGTTCGTGAAGGCTAGGCATGTGGGAGGTCGGCTGTTGTGATTGTATAAGTTTGTACTTTTTTTAAAAAAGTGGGTCGCCACACCAAGTGAATTTGGACTTTTGGCCACCATACCAGAAAAGTTGGGAACTGGTGGCTTATAACATCGATGAACTGGGGGGGGGGGTGCTTCCTGTAGGGATGCCAACCTCCAGGTGGGGCCTGGAGATCTGGATTTACAACTGACCTTCAGAGGTTGAAGATAGCTTATTTCTCGTTTATTTGAAACATTTGTTCCACTTCCCTGATAGAAAACGGCTACTTTGGAAGGTGGACTGTGCGGCATTACACTTGACCATGGTACCCCCCCCCTAAATCCCATCCTCCCGGGGTCCACCCTAGTTGCATGGGCAGATTCCAAATGCAGGCTCCCCCACGTGTGTATTAAGTGTGAAGTTGGCTCGTATTTTAAGTCCTCTTATTTTACATGTGGTAACATCTCCATCCTGCCCCCTGCTGGCCAAAGCAGTCTCTGCAACGAACTCCCAAGATGTGCGCCTGTCCTGTCCATTTTTCTCCTCTTCCTCTAAGGAGCGCAAAATTGTGTACATGGATCTTCTGCGCCTCCACTGTATTTTCATGACGACCCTGTGAGGTAGCGTAGCTGGAGAGAGACCGGTCCAAAGTCACCAAATGAATGTCACAGCTGAGCGGGGATTCGAACGCTGGTCTCGTAGCTCCTAATCCAACACTTTGACCACTATACCGTGCAAGCCTGCTGTTCATCCATTACAGAATTCAAATCTGTGTCCCTGGGGAGGGTCTCCCCTCCAAGCACTGACCAGTCCCAACTAGTCAGCAGGGTTACTGGACTGTGTGTCTCTTTACTGTGCCCTGAAACCATCAGTCTCAGAAGAAGAAGGAGAGATTGGATTTATACCCCACCCTTCACTCGGAGTCTCAGAGCGGCTTACAAACTCCTTTCCCTTCCCCTCCCCACGACAGACACCCTTGTGAGGTAGGCAGGGCTGAGAGAGCTCTTTTCCAGCGCCGTCCTTGAGCGAACAGCTCTGAAAGAACTTGCGACTGACCCAAGGTCATCCAGCAGCTGCGAGTAGAGGAGTGGGGAATCAAACCCGGTTCTCCCAGATTAGCGTCTGTGCACTTAACCACTACACCAAACCGGCGCTCTGTAGTGACGGCCACAGGAATAAACCGCTTTAAAGGGGGTTTAGATCGATCCATGGAGGATAAGTCTGTAAATCGCTACTAGTCCTGGGGACTGAGGGGAACCTCCACATTTGGAGGCACGAAGCCTCTGAGTCCCGGAGCCAGGAGGCAACATGTGGGGAAGGCCTAGACTGGATTTGCTCAGCTTCGTCCGGAAGCGTTTTCTGCACTTGGCTGAAACAAACGGGTAGCTCCTGCTATTTCTCAGACCAGCCCGGATCTCTTTTCCCTCTGCTTTTCTCGTGGGGTTCGATCCCCGCGTTCCACTTCCGAGGCTCAGTCCGCCCCGCACTTCCGCTCCTGGCCAGCAGAAGGCGCGCTGGAGTACTTGCGTCTCCCTCAGTGGCTCAGCCCAGTGACCAGCGGGGCTTTCAGTGGCCCCTCAAGGGGCTCCCAACGGGCGGGCTGTTAGGCGGCCCCGGGAGCTTCCCTGGCACACCAGTCCCTCCACAAGTCCTGGAAAAGGAAGCGCAGCTTTCCTCGCACGAGCTGGGCGTAGGTCTGGAAGATCCTCCTCGGGCTTCTTTCGGGAGTGACCTGGGAGGCTCCGTCGGGCGGCTGGCCGCCATCTTGTCCCTGGAGGGGAGGAAAAGGAACGGCCTTAGGGTGGGGATGCCAGCCTCCAGGTGGGACCTGGATCCCCCGGAATTACAGCCCATCTCCGGACCACAGAGATCAGTTTCCCTGGAGAAAATGGCTGCTTTGGAGGGCGGGCTCTGTGGCATTGCACCCCACTGAGGTCCCTGTCCTCCCCAGGCTCCATCCCCAAATCTCCAGGAGTTTCCCAACCTGGATCTGGCAACCTGACCCCCCCCCCCCAAATCCCACCAGCTTAGGGTGTCTGGTCCGCAGCAAATCCCGAACCCAGGATCAGAGGCAGATTTCTGTGACTCCTGGTAAGTCCTGCAATGCAGAGTTACGACGGACCGTTGCATAGGGGGCGCTAGTGGAATGCTGCTATGGAGACAACGGGCAGAGGAAGTCAGGTTGCCAGGCTCCAGGCGGTGGCTGGAGACAAGATCCCCCGGAATTACATTTTGTCTCCAGGCAACAGAGATCAGCCCCCCAGGAGAAAATGGCTGCTTTGGAGGGTGGGCTCTACGGCAGGATATACCCCACTGAGGTCCCTCCCCTTCCCAAACCCCGCCTCCCCCAGGCTCCACCCCCTCCCAAAATCTCCAGGGATTTCCCAACCCAGAGCTGGCAACCGTAATGGACAGTGCGCTTTCGTATGTGCCCCTGATTCCTCCGCAGCACAGAAAGCCGTCCATGTGAGTAGGGTGGAGGTTCTGTGGCAAATATAGGTTTGCCAATGTCCAGGTGGGGCCTGGAGATCTGGGATTGCTGCTGCTCCCTAGGCAATAGAGGTCAGTTCCCCTGGAGAAAATGGCTGCTTTGGAGGGTAGGCTTGACGGCATCACATACATGCTGTTCTTCTCCACCTCCCCAAACTCTACCCTCTTCAGGCTCTGCTCCTGAACCTCTCAATTTCCCATCTTGTAAGAAGATAACATAAGAAAATTCCTGCTGAATCAGGCCAGTGGTCCATCTAGTCCAGCATCCTGTCTCACACAGTGGCCAACCAGCTCCTCTGGAGGGCCAAAAACAGGGCAGAGAGGCCAAGGCCTTCATCAGAACATCAGGAGAGCCCTGCTGGGTCAGACCAGTGGATGGTCCCTC